AATTTCACATACCTTGGCAAAGAAAATCAGTTAGAAAATCACAATCTTGATGGAACTTTGCAACGTGACTCACGAATGAACTTTCGGGCTAGACAAAAGAAAAAAGTGGACTCCGCTCAAGTCTGAAACAAAGCTACGGGTATAGCGGAGCGCCCTCACTAGGACTGACAAGAAAAACAAATGCGCCGTGACAGTTACTTAAATCATTATGGCCGAAAATATCTGGAGAACATTCAAGGAAACTTTTTTTTTACTTTTATAAGATATGTTCACTACAAATTATAAGGAAATCGTCTTTTTGTTGAGTCCAGCTGCAGAGTATAACTCATTTCGTGACTTTGTCTTGGCGAACTTTTAGATTGAAATTACGTGACCACAATGAGGCATTTCTCGCGCTTGCACTCAGGTGGTTCGCGAGCTTTACTTTCCTCTTCGACTACATAAATAAAAGTGTTGCGACGTATACAGAGAATATAAAATCTTGATAGGCAGCTTGTATATATGTGCGGTCTTGCTCGGAGGGTCACATGCTGGAGGAAAGATGCGAAAAATTGCGTGTCGGACGTGACGAACGCAAGACGCAACGCGTTATACACGTCCCCAGTACTCGACCTCGACTACTATGGGCTGCGTGCGCTAACGTTCACTATTAACGCGTAAAACATGATTGGATCCAATGGTTGGCATCTGGCGCCGCCAGATCATAGCCGCGGGAAACGAGGTTGCCTAGCATCCTGAACATAACAAAAAACGACTCGCGTTTTTAAATAAAAATGTGGCCTATTTGCAACCAAATTTCCCAGACCCCCCCCCCAAAAAAGCCTATTTCCCAAGTAATGGGATCTCGTCGGATTAGTCGATTACCCTTTGCATTTTGAATGAAATCACTCATCTAAAAATGGCACCTTCGTTGTAACCACTATATTAACTGTGAAGATTTTTCTACCTCTTTACATGGCCATAGCATGCATTTCCCCCTCTCGTACAGGAGCAATCGACACTGGTTGTGGTAAATATATTTCAAGTTCTAAAATTGATGAATTCCCAGAGCAATCTTTTTCGGTTCATATGTGGGAATGCAGTGGGACTCATGCAGCAGATGCTAGTCGTGATACTGAATAATAGGAAATAAGATTTGGAATGTGGTCATTATTGGGCCTCAGACTCGTCACCCCAGCACTTTGGCATCGCACCAGCATGATCCAGCATGGAAATTAATCTCATTTGAAGTGCACCTTGAAAACTCAATACAACTTCAACCCGTCATTAACGCATGATAACTCTGCAGGCTTTCCCCTTTGACCTGTCCCATTATTGTCTTTCTAAAGTAGCTATTATTGTAGTCGATGAGAACTGCATAAACGTTTTCCACTTTGCGCAGTATGTTAATTTTCCTATAAAATGACAAAGTAAAAAGACTGGCTTTTTCGTTGTGTGCACGAGGAAATATGGTGTTTGTCCTAACTAGACAAGGTGTGCGTACTGCTCTGATGGCGTACATCATGCCAATGGATGGAGTTCGAGGTGTAACATTTCACAAAATACTTGGAAGGCATAATGTACACCGACTCCTTGTTGGATTTTTATAATATAATAACTGTATAATATCATGACATCATTACATTCAAAACGTTGATGATACCCATTCAATAAGTACTTGCATGAATAATGGCAAAGGGTACAGACTGTCTTGTTATACCTTCGTCTTGATCACTGCATTTTCCTTGTGCTAGAACGATCACCTGACCGAGCGACAAATACATGTCAACCCTCAACACTTGTCATAAGACAGTGATTTCATATGTTAAAGTCCCACCCCTCTAGTCAGCGGGAACCGCTCTGGTACCTTTGCTACTTTAGGCCTACTATACAGATTATATTCTCGCACACCCTGGTGGGAGCAACAAATTGGCACTACAATACAATTAGCTGTTGGACAAAAAACTTTCTGTCGAGGATGAAAGGTCGTTTGTTCATATAATATCTCAAAATAATATTTTCGAAGTGAGAAGAAGCATTTAAATTTTCCTCAAAGTGGTTTTTAAGATGTAAGATATTGTGTTCAAGCAAGACACGTATACCGCCAACACAGCCGATTACGGCAGTGCATTGAGTTCAAGCGTGTCGTACAACTTTCTTAGCAGCAACGGGCCGAGATACCCATTGTTAAGATACGAGGAAAATGTTACATACAGGATTCAAGACAAAAGTATAACAAAACAATTATGGACTGCTTTAATGTGGGACGTGATGCTTTAACACCAGTGGTGCTGTGAGTCCATGAGGTTGTTAAAACGTCATGTCCCACATAACAACAGTCAATTACTGTTAAGTGAGAGCAAAAGTAACATGTTTTAACAGGTGCTTAAGGTTTTTAACCACCCTACACCATGCCTGCACGTCCTAAGCGTATGTGCTCAAAATGCATTTAACGGCCATGCCCTTTTTTCTATTTCTCAATTCAGTATATGTGCAACCTGTCATGCAATTTTTACCCATCCAAACCTAGCTGTGTCAACTTGATTATTAACAAATTCGCTGTGATGTTATGACCCCTTGTTAACCCCCCATAATTCTTTGTCATTTTAAAAGATTTTTACACGTGTTCCTATGTCATAAATACAAATGTCGGATATGACGAAACCGTTTTCAGACGGTACGTACATTCCCTGTATGAGTTGGAATATTGCTTTCATATGCTACCTTGTTTCGTACGTTTTAAGGCATTTATTTCTGATGCTCATGAAAAGTGGATAGGTTTTGTAAAGTGCCAGATTATCAAGGAAAACGTTTACACACACGTCACAAGGTAAGCTGGGTGGAAGATTCACTACTTTCCTGTCAACAAAATCGTAGTTGGTTCTTGTGACGGTCATTTGTTGCACTGGTTAGTTGGAGGGCTAGTTGGTTAGCAGTTTGACTGACTGACTAAACGGTTATCTGTCACATTGGTTGTCTGTCTGCTTGACTGTGTTGTCTGCTTACTGTGTTGACTAATGGCAAGTTGAAGGGTAAGTTGTTTGGATGACCGACTGTTTGTTAGTTAAATGGGTGGTCCACAGTCATGTGGTTGTCCAGTTGAATAAATGAAAAAAAAAATGTGTGAATAACTCAGACAAAGACCGTAAGCCTTTTTGAAGCGTGGCGGAAACAATAGTAGGGCGCTATTTGAAGTAGGTAAATTTGGAGTAAACACGAAAATTTTACTGAAAACAAATAGCGCCCCATTGTATCCGCATAACTCAGGCTTACCCCCCCATGAGTGATGTTCACAATTCGAAATGGAAATTAAAGTGTATTTTTTTACATTAAAGATGCATTTGTGGACAAAATGCCGTCTTTGCAGTTTTGCCCGCAGCAATCAACTCCTTTGTTGAGATTAACGGGGGCTCAGAATTGTCTATTTTGGCTTAAAGTACTCCTCACTATCATATGTTTATCAATGTGTTTATTTCCATTCGGAAGAACAACCCCACGTTCTTGAGATCTCTATCGAGTTCTCCGTTATTTTTTGTTAAACAGACCTCACAGCGACAGGTTTCGACTTTGTATTTTTATGACGTCAGTAATCAACCAAAGTTTCCCCGATGATAAGTTCCAACGGCAACAATTTCACTTCCAAACTTTTATCAAATACTCTGCTACTTTTAGCAAGCTGGCCAAATCTACACTGGTCCTAATTCCGCTGTTTGGAGTGTATTACATCATCACCATTGGCATGTACGCTACTGAAGAACCTATTGTGGTCAAGTTGCGCATGTATATAGAGTTGGGCATGTCTTGCCAGGTAAGTTGACACAGTAGGCTGTTTGAAATCAGTATTGTTTGTTCGGGCGGTTTTTGGGGAGGGATTTGTCTTGCTCTGTTTCACATTTTTGGCTATTGCAAACATGCTTTGTGGAGTGCCAGCATATTGCTATTTTGTTCTGGGTTTCAAAATGTGCTTGGCAGTGTTTTCCGGCAAAGATGTATTTATTTATTTTTTTACTGATAACTGACAGACGATTCGATGATGCAAATTTTCTTCTGATCGTAGAATTTTAATTTTAAATCTCTCAAATGTGACCAGGGATTCTTAGTGGCCGTGCTGTACTGCTTCATGAACGGTGAAGTGAGAGCTGAAATCAGAAGAAAGTGGCGAGTTCGACAGCTAAATCGGACACTGAGTACGCATCGGTCATTACGTAATGGTCACTCTCGTTCGTCCTTCTCAACTCCATCCCGTCAGGATTCCTTAAAGGAACCTCTCAGAGATCCCACAACGGCCGATAAGAACTCAATTAAGTCTAAACTGCGAGCTCTGAAACGCCAAGCCTTTGGTCCATACCACAATCTCAACGGCCATGTTGGAAATGGAAACATGGCCCGACCTAGCCAGACGGCTGTGAGTGAAATTGATAATGACAGTGACTTTGCCGAACGCGCCAGAACCTCATCAGAGGTCCGTCCAGTCAGACACGCTGCAGATATTGAACCGAACGAAAAGACGGCTATGAGTGCACAACCGTCATACTTCAATCGGCCAGAGAATACACCCACAGTCGTTATCGACGAAGCCAAAGATTCGGATGATGGGTACGACGGAGACATGTACAATCCAAACGATGTCGGGAATCATGAGATCAAGGTTGAGATCGACCACGAGGTAATCGAAAGCTGTCCAGCAGAGGCTTGTATTGAAGGCGGATGTGAACTTGGGCGCGCCTATCCAAATATTGAAACAGAAGTGTAAAAATAGCAGACACATGTTTTGCATGTAGACTTCATGCTATTGTGTTATCACAATAACACCAATGTAAATTAATCATCATGAAAGTAAGTTGTATAATACTGCATGTGAATGAATCTGTTAATGTCCAATTGTGCCTGCCAAGTGTCTTGACACCTTTGGTAAAACAAAATACATGGATGTTTATACCTATTACCACATTCTGACCGTAAAGTTGTCTCTGATGTCGGCAAAATAATGAAACTTTGGAAATAATCATGTAACAGTTGTTGATGTCATTTTGAAAACACATAATTCACGAAACATGGAGATTGTGCTTTGACTCAGATTGGAACAAGAACCGTGTGAAATGTTTGGTTTAAAACTTGCCCGTTGAACAGATAGAAAGTTTGTATGTGAAAGAGAATAATGTGACAAAATCGATGGTATTAGGCCTAATTTGACTGTTTTCTGCTGAAATTTCCATTCTCCTACCACGCACAGTTTAAGTGTTTTCACAAGGGACCGATCAACTTGGATAACATTTCTTCAATTCAACAGACACGAAGTTTTGTCTGTGTTGAAGAGAATTCCGTATGTATACACCATTAATTTCTCAGCCTTAATAATGTCAGCCATTAGAAAGTGATAACATGTTCTAAAAGTCAAATTTAGCAGGGAATATTTTGAAGCTTGTACTTGGGAAACGGGATGACGATAACTATATGATAAGTGTATTTTTTCTGTTATTTACAATGCTCTGATAGTTAAATCTAGTGGTGTTATTTCGAGATTGGAATCAACATTTAGGACGAGTCACCCTCTTTGAGGGACTTCAACCTTTGTTTTAGCAATTTTAAATGAAAAAAGTGCTAAGGTAACCGGGAAAACCGATATCATTTTATGTCAAAGGATACATTTCCGTGCAACTTTTTTTTTTAAAATACATATCACGGATGCACTCAGCCATCAGTCATTTGTATGTAAAAGTTGAAAACTTGTTTCTGTTAATGCCGTTTTTGTTTTAACAATATACAGGTTTTGGCAATTGTGGGTCCGAATATGTATTTTAACAGACCTGTAATTCTTTTAAAACGTCTACTTTAAAATGCTACTATTCTTTCGATTTTCCCAACTGTGTACTTTCTTAAACAGACAGTAGTAACTTTCTGTAGAACTTCACATTTCGATTTAAATTTGATACATTGACAAACTTCAAGTCTTTTATTAAATTTTGTAAACGGGCAAATGTATTTGAGTATTGTGTGTTGAAAGCTAGTGTTTTAAATGCATCAATATCTCATGAAAACAGTTGCTAGTTCATAGGAAAACCTTTTGATTTTTTGTCGGATTCTCTTTAATTAGATTATTTTGTGTGCGGATCTGACTTCAATGTCGCAAGTCAACCTTCATCAAATTTTGTTTCTGGCTCTTTCCAAATACAGTTTCACATACGTTGATCTACAATACATGTAATTGGATTCCTGATACAATCATAGCTACGAACTAAGTACTAAGACGAACAAAAATATGTTGCATTTTGTAAAAGTTCACACTTTTTACAAAATGCAACATATTTTTGTTATATTAAGTCAACTAAAATACGAAACGGGGACATTGTGAGATTTTTTAACAGTGCAGACTCCTTTTATTAATCATTGAATAAATCGTAACAACCTGCAGCAGTTGGTTCAGGATTAATTAACAAATAATTTTGTATGGCACTTCTTGTCTTTTTGTGCTAGTTGAAGGAAGTAATGTACATACTGGTTATATTCTGACGTCAAATCATCTTGTACAAGTGTAGAATGAATAATAACATTATATATCTCAGTCTTGCCTTTGTCAAAAGATATATAAACGCTATGAAAATGAAATAGTATGAATTAAAATTCCTTTTAAATCATTGAGTGAAAACAATGATTTGGGATTTTTGTGTAAAAAGGAGATCTAGGGTTTTTGAGGTACCATGATGTGTAAAGACTATTATTCCATACCCATTGCATGTATAATATAACCATTCAAAAAGGATGTCATACATTGTGAAATATTAATTTCTGTCATAATAAGCTATGGAAAATAAATAATGTTAATAAAGCTCTTGAAAGCATTTGGTTTTTCATTTTCTATCCCCCTTTGTGTAATCAATAAAGAATTCGTACAAATTGATCAAGATTGATGGAAGTTGGCCCATGTTAGTCTTATAACGTGAGCTGAAAATGATGTTTGATTTGATTGTATACAATGTTCAACTTCGTCAAACAAAGAAAAATTACACTCACAGGAAATCGACCTTTTCTTCTCAAAATAATTGTGGAAAAAATACAAAATATTACCGCATTGTAATTAGATTGCAGGGCTAACCGTGGCAGTTTTATTTAACCGACGCGGTATGAACTTTTTCTCACACGGTCTCGGGAACGGACTCGCCAGTTGAGTCTGTTTCATTTTTCAGGGTTGCAAAGCCCTGAGTCAGTCCTAAAGGTATATAAATGCTCCAATGGTTGTCCCCTGGCTTTTACAGCTCTTACAAACCGCCAAAAGTACGTCACAGTACCGTGGGGGCCGTTTTCGCAGGCTATCCCGATTTGGTGGGGGGGGGCTCGCCACGCGCCAGCCAAGCCACACCACCACCACAACACCCCCCAACCAAAATAACAATTCAAAGACAGCCGAAAGAGGCCTCTGACAAGTTCCAGACAGCTGTCACTGATAAGAAACATTCCACTGTCTGCCCCAGGCACCGTTTTGTAAACAATCCATTAGATTGTACACAAGGGGCCACTTAGCACACAGTCCTACGGGAATTTGCTGGAGGCTGGCTGGAGGCCGGCTGGATTTTTTTCATTTTTTCTGGCTAGGGGAGGCCCTGGCTGTAAAGTGACTAAACTAGGTTTTTCAGCATGTACAGGGGAAGGATATGATAAATAGTCGTTGCATTTGGACGAAAAAACAAATTAAACGTTAATTAGCTCGCCAAGAAAGGCCGCTCACTCTACCGAGGGTGCACTTAACTGAGTGAATGATCATTAGTGTATCAATAAAGTTATTCGTCGATGGCGCCCTCTGTAGGCACTATAGGTCGGGTTCCAGTCTCACAAGTAACAGCAAAAATGGCAAGACATCACAATTAACTTGACTTTGAATTCAAATAGAGCAAAGTGGTATGTTTCTGGACAGACATCGGCAGAATATAATACTTTATTCTACTACATGAAATTAAAAGCTGATTAATTTCACCCTGTTCATCGTGAGTAGCTCTCAATAAATACTGTTTTAAAATGTAGCTGAAATTACTAGTTTCTTGTTAAAACTCAATAAGAATGTAAATTGAGGCTTGTCTCGTGTTCAACTGAAAGTGGATACGATATTAAGGTACTATAAATTAAATGCTATGTATGATGGATATATACATTTGTCAACATTGGTAAGTTAAAAGTTGATTTGCAGTTAATAAAAATACATTTTAGAGTAAGATAATTTGCATGATACTAGTAATCAATGTGTATATATACTGTCATTGTGTGATACCAATTCCCAGATTTCCTTTGGACACACTAGGTTTACCTGATAAACGACTGAGAAAGTAAAACTGATGCACAACCGTTTTACGTTATTGCAGCATGCTGAGGAAAAAAATCTTTCAAGTAATAGCTTTCATTTTGTAGTTCTTGGTCCAACAGTTTGCAGTTGTAGATATTCAGGACAAACTCAGAATTCTTTGTTTCGACCACCAAGTGTTTGTCAACGTTTGTGAATACCAAGATGCCCAACCAAAGTGAATATAAAGTACATGTACTGATGTATATAATTCGACTTTACGATAATTAGATGTTGTTTGGACCTTTGGAATTGGCAAGATTGCCATTGAAGTCGAGCTTGATTTCATCAGCTGTGTTAACGTACATGTAGAATAGTGACATTACTTTCTTCTCATCATCTGAATCACTCATCATGTAGCTCCAGTTCCTCGGATCGTTGACACCATTGATGTCCTCTGTAGAAGCAGTATCTCCGCGCTTGGAAGCCCGTCTTGCCTTGAAGCCGTTGACACTAAAACAAAATATCACAGAATTCTGAATAGTCCCATAACACTTAATTGTAAATTTGGGAAAATATGAGGAATTTGTTTATTTTATTTTCCTTCCTTTAAACTGTTTCTTCAAAAAGGACAGTCGTTACAGAAAATTCCCTCCTCAAGACTCACCCCCAGAAAAAAAAAATACTGCATGGGGTAGTATGAGATCGTTGGTACGAATCTATTGAAAAAGATTTCATGAGAAAATTTAATCCTTCATATGCATGCAGCAACAAAGTTATTGTGGGCACTACTCTTTTCAGCCAAAAATTACCAGCTATAACTTGAGAGTAATCGGCGATTCGAACCTACCAGTGATTTAATGCAAAGAACACGATAGCAATCAATCCAGCTGGGACTATGATGAAGCCCAAGATAATGGCTATCATCACGCGGATTCTCTGCTGGACTCGAGAAGGGATATTCGGAACTGTTGGAGCATCTGGTGGTAGTGATGTAACAGGATCTTAATAGTAAAGAATAATCAAAATATGAAACCATATTTTAAAAAACCGGAAGAAAACATTTAGAAAACTGACTTCCATAAGGCACAGTTTGGTCTGACAAATGTTTACAAGTCATCCACGTTTTCTGCAAGTTTTCAATATCTACAACCGATGATATGTCCATAGCATCAACGTTATACAAGATAAAGTTACCTGCAAGTGAGCCAGATAGATCCCCAATCCCAAAAACTAGAAGAGCGAATATTGAAGTCACGAATCCGAATCTTTCCATCTTTTTGTCGTGGAGTTTGAGGACACAAGTTTTTTTCTGTGGTCAAATTCTGAAGTTGGCCTCGACGTATTCACCCCTCCACAGCAATGTATCTGTACATTCACATATAGAAGCCTGGCTCTTTATTAGCCTAATGGTAAACTGGAGGCCAATCGTCATGAATGTGAAAAGATGAGGCACTCTTGGAGAATAAATGCATGAAAGACTTAGGGCAAGCTTTCGTGAGAGTCATTGTGTTATCTGGATAGGATTTCAAAGGACTGGAGCTTCTTGCAAGGTTTTACTTTTTCTTGGTTGGAATGTGTAGGTGGTCTTAATTGTGGATAGCAAATCAGTATACTGGTTTAAGACTGAAGCAGCATTAGATATGACTTTTCTGGTTAAGTTGCCAAACTTTTGGAATTTATACCTTACCAATGTGAACTAATAAAATCGTCACAAATTTTTGTATCTGGTTTTAATATATTTCTATGATTTTAAAACATCATTAAATTCGCATATTCCCTTGCAGTCACCTAACGTTACTGGTGTGTAACTAAACTATCGCGTATTTGATAAAAGAAAGAACGGAAACAAGGGGATGCAGGCCTTGAAATAGAACTAGCCCGGCGTACAAATTTTAGCAAAAAATGCTCCGGGCTATCGAGACTTGGTTCCTTGGTTGCCCGGTGGGCTAGTGAAAAAATCAGTTTAGAACCTACCTGTAGTGTTAAAATTTAGATCAAAGCACGTGTATTGCTTTTGGTGGAAATAAATGCACGATTGCAAAATCTTTAACTACAAGTGCATGTGACATACAACGAATCGTGCCTCTTATTCTTCCCATCAGCAGTTTATTTTCTTCATTGGTGTTAAAACTAACAACAATTTTGGGTTTTCTTTTTTTTTTCTTTTTTTTTCTGCATACGGTGTAGTAAAACTCCAAACGGGCTAGTAAAATACCCAGTTTACTAGCCCGGTGGGCTATCCAGGAAAAAACAGTTAGTGCAAGGCCTGGGATGATATCAATCATCTGAGGTAAGATTTGGTGGGTTACAAGCAGCTAGGTTTGACATGGACTCATTGAAGACATTATGATATCAAGCGTGTAACCATTTTTTCTGTTTGTCTGCCTTGCACGGTGGCATAATCGCTGTTCGACTCTCGTCCTTGAACAGTGTGTATAATGGAAGTCAAAGCTATATTGTTTCTTTGTTATGCACCATTGCAAGTTATTTCTCATAGCGAAACGCATGCGCACAATCCATACAGGCACAAAGTTCCCTGGTCACGCTCTTTTGCCTTCAAAATACACGACATACAGTCTGTTAATCGTGTGGGATCTGACCGGCTTCGTGTCAAGGCTATTTACCATCTTTCATGGCAGTCAGACCGAGCACTTTGACTGGTTATTCCAGAGATGCTGCATTCATTCTAAAGATTAAGCTTTTGTGCGGGCAAAACTGCTGTACCTTAACTGTCCAACTGCACAAATAACTAGGCCCGTGCGATGCAATATATTTTACCGACGCCATTACAATAGCTGGAGTCAAAGCTGTTATGCACAAACAGAACCGATGCTGCTTCTCGTATAAAAGCAGCAAGCCCCACCATCTGCATTATGGTGAAGTCGAGGCTCAAATTTTGCTGTTTGAAGTTGGCCCTCGTTTGTGCTAATTTTGGATTTGGAGACGCACTGAAGACCCGGCCACGAGGAGATGGTGGTATATGCTTATAAGCTTTTGTATTCAAGTTCTGTTCAGAAATGAGAAACTCGTTTTGAAAATTACCGAAGAAAACTCAACTTATCCCAATGTTTTATATACAGGCCATTGTATTTTATAACGTTTATTTTTCGCACCAATATCGGAGACTGTTGTGTTCAAGTTGAAGCAAATGCCTTTGACCTGAGCTTCTCGAACACTGTGTCGATGTTACCTGTTAACGCGAATGATTTAATTATGTACCGTTATTTTGACATGTAGGTTCTTCTGAACGTGATACTAGCCCGGTGGACCCTGCCGTGGGCACCTTGAATGGCTACCGAGGCTACGCTGGTACCCTGGGTGTACTCACAGCTGCTGGCTTGGTCATACCAGTTGGCATCATTTCTATCATTTACTTGTGTTACATTCACTACTGGTGAGTTTTGAAAATAGCCAGTTCAGTTAATATCAGGAAGCGAGTGCATTAAAAAGCAAGTAACTCGTGATGGCGTGTTTTGCAGAATACCAGAGCTTAATTGTTTCTCAACAAGTCAATGTAGTTTTAGAAACGTAATTCAAAAGTTGTTGAGAGTTAA